AAAACGGGACGGAAAACATGAAATTTTGCAATAATATTACGCCACCCTTGCACAAAACGACGATAATTTTTCTAATTTTATAGACAACAGAAGACTGTATTTTTTCTACATAACCCCCCCCCCCCCTAAATCCGGGAAGTTATGACCGAGATATCTGCGATAATATGCCGAAAAGTCATTCAAAATTAAGGATTGAGGCCTGTAGGGGGTCGCGTGAACATTTAAATTATATTGTTTTTCACATATAATGGCAAGGTTTAGTCTTTATATTGAATTAAAATTTTCGTCTCCATCTGAATATTTTCTGCGTTTTCTTTACTTTACTTTCCCAAACATAAAATGGATAACCCTATACAATGATTTGATAATCAAATCAGGCCAGGTTAGCCACGTTAACATTTCGTGTATCTACTTCCAGACATAATAGATTCCAAAGAAGACTCCAATACAGAAGAAGCGTCATCGATATCCAGGCATTCGTCCCCTTTGCTCAATAACGCCAAGTCCACTACAAAGCAGCGTCGATCCAGAACAAACTTCACTTTGGAACAATTGAATGAATTGGAGAGGTTGTTCGATGAAACTCACTATCCCGATGCCTTTATGAGAGAAGAACTCAGTCAGCGATTAGGACTGAGTGAAGCTAGGGTACAGGTAAGACTAAAGAGCTGTAATGCTGGTATATTTATCTGAAAGCAGTGCATCCCCTTGAATTACAGCTAAACACTTAGTATCAATCTATTAAGTGGTCTGTGAGGGCTGTAAGTGTCCAGCGAAGCCATTTCGTTCACTCGAATGGTTTTCGATATCAATCACTTTTAATGTTCCCCTAATGCCGTTAATCTACCACTTAATCGATGCTACTTGCTCGATTTCTAGTCCCTCTACATAATACGTATTCATTAGGAAATTATCAGCTAATAGAGCCATTAGTCTGAGTAATAGACCTACTAAGAGGACAAAGAAGGATCAAATTGAACCGTTTACGATATGGACCTTTTGTCATTTCAGGTGAAATAATGTGTGAAAAAGTTGGAAAACACGATACACGGTCTCTTTATGCTAATGAATAGAATGTTTGTTGCAGGTTTGGTTTCAAAATCGTAGGGCGAAATGTCGGAAACATGAAAATCAGATGCAAAAAGGTTGGTATAACGGCATTTTTAGATAATGTTTTTTGCAAGGCATTTCTTATCGGTGTTTTTTATACCATTGAATACAGGTTTTGAAGCCCTTTAAATGAATCACTAAAACTTGACCAGTAATTTCAATGAAATTACGTGTTTCGGCGTTTTTAAAAAAATATATTAACGTTATGTCTGACACTTGAATAATCCTGTATATTATTAATTATGAAGTAGTACAATTATTAGAGACTTTATGGACAAAATGAGTCCGTGACTATTCGATCTTATCGTGTCATCATTCATCAGCAAAACCGTGCGCCGGAAAAAAGTGAGGAGATATTTTCCTTCGAATCAAAATTAATTTTTGTTAAGACTAAGTGCATTTAAAATGTTCAAGTGTAGATCGGAAGCTAATGTTTCTTGGAAGAAAAAGTAAAACTATCCAAATGCATAATTCCGCATAAAGAGACTTCCAAACGCTCTGTATATAAGCCAATAAAGGAGTGTCTTGAATAGTCATTCCTTTAGAAAAATTCGATACACATTCCTATCCTACTTTTTGGAGGGCTTGAGCATTCTGCTAGGCTGTAAAGTGGTATATAAATAAGGGCGACGCCCTAAGCAAAAAAATCTGCGGTACATAATCGAGTTTATATAGAGGAACGGATCTAAAAAAATACCGCTAAGGCGAGAGTTTTCAATCAAATGAAATAATTCCCCTGGAGTGCAATTTTCCAACATTCAGTCATTCAAATGGCGAGCATAAGAAGACTGGTCTGCCCCGAGTAGTATGGCCCTTTGGGGCTACTAAATTATACTTACTGCCTCTCGCTTACTTCATCGCTTTCAATGGCGTTACTTTTGGTTTATCGTCTTCCAAAAAAAATTAATGTTCTGTACATTTATTATACAGGGTGATTCAAAATTGGCGTCGTTCCTATAGGGGCTCACTTGAAGAGAAAATTTATTTTTCGAAAATTTCTAGACGTTAACAGTTGAAAATCGAATGACAACTTTGTTATTAAGCATTATTATTAAATGGCCCCATCTTTGATTGGTAGCCCATGGTAATACTTAACCAATTTTCGATATTATGCGATTAGTTATGGGTCACATTAACATAACAGAAGCTGTAAGAACTTGCGCCAAAAAAGGCCCAGAAACACTGGAAGATTCAGGACGACAATAGATGTTCGAGTTCCAGACACACAGGAACAGGTATTGCAGCAAAGCCTTCCAGGGATACTCAGAGCATTGCACAACTGACACTTTCCCAGGCACCAGGCACTAAATGAATACCGAGGAAGGGCTACATTCCTACCACGTATGTAGATACACCGAACACAAGTACACATTAAACCAATGGTTCGCTGAACACCGGATTGATTACATAGGCACTAACTTGTTTGAAGTTAAAGACAAACTGTATGTTTATTTGCATGCACATCAATTTGAGGTTATGATGACCACAAAGAACAAAGAAGTAGATCCCTATATTTAACGAATCCCGTTGAATTTACTGTTAATCCTTTAATTTCTAAAAAATTTACTTTTTTTACTATTATTACTCCTAAAATACACTCAGACCACACCTCCAGAGGAATGACGCAAATTTTGAACCACTCTGTAATACCGCATCTTAATGTGAGGATCGTTTCAGTATTAACTAACTAAAGCATCGAGTGGTCCTTTCGAAAGGCAGCCATAAATCCCGATTAGTAAAATGCAGGATTAGGAAAGAATTAGCCTTATGCTTCAAATTAAAAAAAAAAGATTTAATGGTAGTATAAAGGGATTATAGAGTTCCCGTGCAGCGTGTACCAGTTAACTAAAGTGATTATTTGTGTACTGTTTAACATAGCCCCGCCTATGGATATTCAGAGATTTGCTCTCACCCCAGTTGAGACCCTGTCTAGCAAATTACATTTACAAATAGGGGGTTAAGTCAGGTTTATTCATTTTGAATATGAGCTAAACATGTTACCTATTTATTCATTGCTTCGCCGGCCGCTCGCCCCTACACTGGATTTATTTAAACCGATTTACTAATTGAGAGCCCTCACCATTGATTTTTTAAATCACGGTTTGGGAAAGTTAATTTATCAACGAAATTCAATTGAAATTATTCCGCATCAGCAAATTATGAAGGCATTATATGTATTCACTGTTTTTGCTTTTACATTAGCAACTAATTTAATAATGTATTTTCGATAAATAAATAAAAGCGTTTTAAATAAGTCAAAAGTAGGTATAGTACTACAACGATTTTTTCAAATTATTTACCATTTTCATTTTTTTATCCAAATTTAAGAAAACAAGGCGCAATAAATGCATGATTTCCCAAAAAAAGAGCCTGATTCTAAAGGCAGTTTAATGATAAAAATTTGAAACTTTAAATATGTTTATTGGGGAGTTTAGGCACTTGTACCCATGTCAGCAAGGCCAAATGAGCCGCAGAACAGAGTTCATGATATATTCATGGTGAAAATAGAATTATGGGGGTGCTATCCATGGTTTAAAGATGATTTTCAGTTAGAAATGCTCGCCTCTTGCAAATAATTTAATGTTTTAAGTTGGATTTATGTCGACACTTAAACCCTATGGAATATTCTCGTTTAAAACTGCACCGGACCACATAAGTGTCATTTTGTGCAGGAATTATGATAAATAATCCAAGCCCACCATCAAGCACACCATTAGAACCATGTAGAGTGATTCCTTATATGAACGTGCCAGCGTTGAGAGGGATTTCTATTGGATCCAACTACGAAAGGCTGACCTCATCATCGTTTTCCCAACAAGGAACAGCGTTTTCTGCTATAAATTCTGCATTTATCACTGCAGCACATCAGGTATTTACTGGTATCTGTATTCCGAGGGATTTAATACATCTAATGGTTTCATTTTAGTACGCAGCAGCTGTAGCGGTTGGAAGTAACCCAGCTAGCATACTGTGCCCTCAATACCCTCTCGAATTTGCAGCTCTAGCAGTAGCGCACAAAAATTCCAGTATTGCAGATTTGCGGCTTAAAGCCCGAAAACACGCAGAAGCTTTGGGACTTTCTGCGCGAGAAAAGCCGCAGAACTAGTTTTAGAGCTTTGAGTTTAGTTAAGTTTCCTTCATGTGTTCACAGTTTGGTAGAGTGATTTAGTTTTTTCTGCTTAGGTTGAGACTGAATATCGTTGTATTAATAAAATCGTTGCATTAAAGAACTTCGATATCTATTTCTAAACAAGACAGATCATTTCTGTGATATTTCGTTTTATGCGCTTTTTTCAATGGCAGATAATAATATCACGTTTGTTTTCGCAGTGACGTAACCAATGTGATTGATGATGCATGATTTATGGGTTTTCATTCTTTTTCCTGCTTTTTAATACTTCGATTGAAAGAAGCTTGATATTACTTAACATCGTTTGTAATGTTTTGAAGTAGGAAAATGGTTGGTTTACGTCACAAATTTGTAATAAAATTTCTCATGAAAATTACATCTAACAAATATTGCCAGATCATTTGGATCATTGTCAACCTTTTAGAGGTGTGTATAATGGATTCATTTTAATAAAACGCGTTTTGCAGAAGGGTTGATGGTTTTTGTAACCCCGAGAAAACGTCCAGTTGGATGTTTTACATCTAGCAATAAATCACTTGCACTTGGTGACTAATTATTGAGTTTACCCTTGCGTTATCACCAAAAACTTCACTTTTTACATTTTACACAGCAAAACTTTCATATCCACTTTCTCATTCTCTAAATATACAGTAAATGCGGGAAGTTTCGATTTGAACCCCCTACGACTTCACATCAAAACTAAAGAATCCTATAAGGAGAAACATTCGAAGATATCTTTGATATCAGTAAAGACGAATGAGAACTGACACAGTGGTATTATTGGTTTAACATTTATTAAGTTAGAACCCTCGCTTTTGTAGTGTCATAAATGATTAGGTCTTCTTGCTCTTGTTGATTGGATATAATTGCGTTAGTAGCGCTCTGTGGCTTTGTAAACAAGGGTCAGCCACACGAAACTTTGATTTGTGATTTTAAAACAAACACTTGGGGTTACCCAGTTTTTTTCTTTTGGTTTTCGTGATTGCGGACTGTTTTGGCAATATCAAATGCAACGGAAGCAATTTTCATTTACATCCTTATGTTTTTTAGTTTACAAACTATCGATAATTTTTTTCGAAATTAGCTAAACTCCATAAAAAAATAATTGAAATATTAGGAATCCGAGTGAGAATTGTTTGGACGTTTATCCCAACATATTTTTTCCTTTACTCGCTTTCCCAGCATCACAAAAAATGAGAACATTTACTAAGAACTTGTTCTGTTATTTAGGGAATTTTTGTACGCATTTAGGTCGAAACAAAATACACAAAAAGGGAAATACCACCCCCTTCTACAAAATTTTTTTAGCAAGTAAAATATTTGAAAAGACAAGATCGCTGCTCTCACATCATGAAAAAACGCTTAAACAAATAAACTAATAGGTTTTTCGGGTTTTTAAGAAATTCTACTGAACGACGGCCTAAAACCCCGAAAAACCCATTAGTTTCAAGGAATAGCCTCGAAAGTCTATCTCTTTTGACTTAAACATATATTTTAACATAACCTATTTTTTATAACACGCCTTAAACAAGATTATACAGGCAACATTCGACGTACTTTACCTGACCGCCTCGTATACAAAATCGCTCAAACAGGCGTGTCCTAGCAGCCATGATCGTAAACTGCCGACTACAAGTACAGAACTCTGTAATATGTATAGCTAGTTTCCTATACCTTCCATCCTTCATCAAATTATTGTAACATAGAAAGTGCAACAAATTGGAATATAAAATAATAATTTACTGCCCCAAATGGCCTGGGGTTTATTACAGGAAAAATCAAATTATATAGTGCTGTGCTGAGCATTAGTTTTGCTTCAAGACTTTTATTAACAACTAATAAGAGCGACATTTTTCCATAAAATAATTCAGCAGTGAAAATAGCTAATGTTCAAAGAATTACCAATGATGTTATATGAAAATCAGGTTCTGTTTTAATAAGGAGCAACGAATAAGCTTGAAAAATTATCCGTTTTAAATTTCCCACGTTGGTAACTGTCAAGTCTGGGAGGTCTTGCGTAGTGGACTATGAGCGTTTGCGTGCAAATTTCTAGTGTAAATATGGCGTCTCAAGAAGAGGATAACAAACTTGAGTGTATATCAAATGTAAACAAAGACCAAGAAAGATACTACTTAAATGTATATAAGGTGAAAAATTGAAATTCTCGTGCTTCTAGTTATATTAGTTGATTACATCTCGCATGTTCATTGTGAATCCAGTGTTAGTTCTATTTTCTCATGGCGGCCATATTCGGTGTCGGGTCACCTCAGAAAATATCGAGGATATTGGTTGTGAAAATTTGAGCAAAAATTGAAGTGAACCCGGGCCAGTTACCCCATGGACCGTTTGCCAAAAGTGTGCTGGAACCCGATCTCAGTTTGCATTGGCGACAATTTTTCTAGTTTTGGAGCTTGTTTGTTTTAATTGCTTGCCCAAGATGAGCTCTAAATCCGAAGATATATTTTGTTATACGCCTTTCAAAGCACGTACTCTTTACTTTATTTCGTATTATTTTATTTCAATGGCAATAGTGATTTCATTGCGAAGCCCTGTACAATTATCAACACGGAGTTACTCTTTATTATGTCATATTTTCCTTTTTTTGTGGCGACATTTTTTGCATGCATAATGTAGTTTATGTAGCTTTATTTATTTCCATATTACTCCAATCAAACTAGAACGTAGTAGCAATTATCTATTGTAAATATCTAAGCCCAGTTTATGTCTATTAGTCATTGTTATTTACCCAACTAAATACATAGGCCCACCGAATTCATCTAATGTTTTAATTACAAAAGAACTGCAAATCTGCTTATACCTAACTATACGAAATTGTTATCTGATTATATTTTAGTTCACTGCAGAATTGTTCGATTAAGCAATCAAGGCAAATCCGTAATAAACTTACAATCCTTACAGATATATCAATTCAGTATTTCACTGATTCTTTTAACTACAATAACACAATATATGAGTTAGAGTATGATCTTTAATTGAAGCACAAGCTTGAGTAATACATTTTTACCGTACCCACAAATCCTGCTAAAGCTGACATGAAACCAAATGTAAGCGTGTAAGTAAAACACGATATATCCTACATGTAATGTAATGTTTTTAATAACTACGTTGACATTTTTTGTTAAAAACTGGGTATATGGCAACTTTTTTAAATTGAAGGATAAATCCTGCTAATCAAGCTTAACCTTTGCATTTTTTTTACACTTTGCAGTGTGTGAAGGGCGTTCATTATTTGCCTGAATAATTTTCCTACCTTTCAAACTAAAGAAAATCGACATTTGGTTTTTGTTATATTGCATGCTAATATAGAACGAAGAAGTGAAAAATAAGCATTATATTTATGGACAAATTATTTTATTTTATTACTTAAAATTCTTCATATGTATGTATTGTATAAACAAATTGATTAATGTACCTCTCCTGAATTAGAAATTGCTATTTGAATTAGACTGCAGTCGTTTGAAAAATAACAAGAGTCAGCAAATTAATGTTTATTTTTCTCTGTCTATTATTTGCTCCTAAATGTAATTTCTAAACATTTATATATAGATATGTATCTAATATATATGTATATATATATGTTTTTTATTAAACTACTCGTAGACATTTAAATGTTAACGGAGTGTTGGATTACATATGAAATCACTATTGCTTTTATTTACCTATTAGTTATTTGCAAGTAGTTTAATATATTAGAAAATTAGTACGTTGAATAATTGTGTTGCGTAATCACCAACACTGATGTTGTTTATTTTGAGCATTTTCGGTTATTGATTGTGGTTATATGGTAGACGGGTAATTTTTCAATTTTCATAGTATACATTAGTAGCAATAAGTAAAACAACTTTTCTCGAGAATCAAACAAAAAGCCACTGCAACATATAAAGAATATAATGTGTGATTATTTGGATGCCCTTTCCAATTAAAAGATGCCCGTGTATTAAAAATAAACACTTAAATTAACAAAACAGTTAGATTAAGAATCTACTTTTTAGAAGACAGTTTTATTTTATTTGGGTATTTTTTTTGCAGAGATATGAATTTATTCTGAATGATAAATCTGAACAGTTTGAACATAAAGTCCAGTCACTGATTGACGTCTGGAAAAGCATATCGGAGCTGAATTTTTCTCAATTTGACATTAAATACATTATTCATATAATTGATTGGGCTAAATTACATGCTCTGAATATCGTGTTAACGGGAGAATGGAGATCCACAAAAGGTAAATTATATTCTTCACAAAGTGGTAATAACTAATACTGTTTACGTCTCAGAAAGTTTTCGAGATAGTCTACTACAGTGCATCGAAAAGGCCCAGCAGAGTTTAGCTAGCATAAATGACGCCTTCTCAACTCGTTGCCAAAAGTTAGCTGATGTAGTTAAAAAACCCTGGGAAGATCCTGTTTTATATAACCTAATACAAGAACGAGATGCAGAGATCGGATCAAAAGGTAATCATTTTTATTATTAAACTAGATCTTGTAATAGTAATCAGCTTTATCGTTTTTAGAAATCGAATTCTTCTGCGTCGAAACTGCTTATTTGGTGTCTGTGCGATTGAAAAAACTCTGTGAAAATCATTGCGAAGATCTTGCCCTCAACTTGGTCACAAATTTCTTGAAATGTAAGAAGCAAGCGACAATCCAGAATTTCAGTTTAAATGCCACCGAAACTCAACTATGGTTCATTTTTGATATTTACATGGCACTGTTGTACAAGTTCCAAGATAAAGATAAAATTTTTGAGCAGGTAGGCAACAGACACATCGGAAAAACATTTGAAATGTCTGATTTTAGAATAGAAATAAGAAACATGTCGTTTTTTCTTTTTTAGTTTCAAAACTTGCAGTTAGCGGAGGGTGTGCAGCTGATCAAGAGGTTCTCCAAGAAACGTGTGAAAATATCCAAAATTTGGCGCAACTGTCATAAAATTGCTATTTTCGGATCTAGATATTTTCTGTCAAAAGCACTAATGAGCTACAATACTGACTTAAGAGAATTATTGACAGATTTATTGAAAACATATCTAGCGCTCTCCAATACAGATGTTCTTTTGCAAGAATTTGTGTTATCTGTGAGGAATCTGACCAATTTGGCCGATGCGGAAGGATTGTGCGTTATGTGTGAAATCATCCATCGGGAAGTAAGTGGTAACCTGTTATACAAGTATGTCAAATTTTAAAGTTGTTGCTAATTTCAGGCTGCTGAAAAATTAAGACATTTTGCCATCGAAATGTATATCCGAGCGTTAACAACCGATATGAACGAATTGGAACGTCTGAAACATGTGAATGAAGATGTCAAAATGAAGTTAACTACCTCCCGATTAGCCCATACTTTCTCGAATTTAACGGACCTTCTTGATGATCATGTGAAAGTAGCACGAGAATGTATCTTGACAGCGTTCAGCTTAGAACCTACAAAGGAACGTCTGAAGCGAATAGAAGAACTGGCGAAACGAAGTGGCTTTCCTGTTTTGGACACTGGTAAAATATACACTTAGATTGATTAATATAGTACATACTTGTCGTTATCCCTTTGCATATTAGAAAGGAACAACGTTTCTCGACCTACTCGGCATTTTGATATAATTTATATGATTGTTTTGGAATTAATATATACTTTTTATAATGATTTGCTATTCACAAAATAATTAAATACTTTGGACAGCAGTTGATATAAATGACAATAGTCTCTCTGTCTCTTTGGTATTTGTTTGATGGCATGTATTGTACTTTGGCAGGTCAAGAATGGCGATGCAGGCTCCATCCGCCGGTATTACCAAGTGATGACTTAGCCTGGGTATGCCCTGAGTGTGGAGAGTGGATGTCTAAGCCTGAATTAACAGCCCCCCTTCAAATGAACACTCCTCTGCAGGAGGCATTGCAAGAGTCTATCTTGGGCATCTCAGAAGCCCTTTGTGATGACCTAGTCGTCTGTTTGTCGAATCCTCGGTATCAAATCTTAAGCTGGCTACTTTCGTGGGGTGACCTATACCGGTTGTGCATATTGTATTTGAACGACCCAGAGAAGACAAAAAATTTCGTAACTGAATTGAAATTTGTGGATGTTGATTACTCCATGTTTGATCACATTAAACGTGAACCAGTGGATGAGTATACTGGTATTGAAAAGGGTTACGAGCAGTACTTGGACATAGATTTTGTTTCTGATGAAGAGACTTCCTCTGTAAGCGAGGACTCCCTGTGCCATGAAAGATCTGCTGGCTTAGGTAGTGATGGTACTGAAGATTCTGGCTTACCGCTGCCGCAGCTGAAGTCTGACCCTAATACCCTCAAAAGTCTCCGAATGTTTAGACCAAGCCTGAAGAGAAAGAAAGACGATATGGATCCACCAGTAAAAGACAAGAAAATTAGCCTTACTATGCGCAATAATTCGTTAGCTGTTAGTAGATTTGAGTCCCACGAAGTGTCCGTTACAAATAGGATTTTGCCGTTCCAATCGGCGAAAGAAAACCAGAACTTTCCGGACAGGATTTATTTGCCAAAAGCCGCTGAAGTACCTGAGGGCAACTGTATTTCGACACCAGGAAACTTCAGCAAACACGATAATTCAAATCAGCCAGGAAACTCAATTTCTCAATTGCAATCTCCTGGTTGGAATTCGGAATTGGGAGCAAATGGACACATTACAGCTAGTACTTCATCTCAACCAGTAAATTCCGTCTTCAATACGACTAATTTAAGTAATGTAACATCCACAAGCTATGTGTCGAACATCATAAGGAGCAGCTTAACCTACGGAGTGCCAAAAATCACTGATAATACGCAGTCATTAACGCCTTCAAGCACATACACTACTCCTAGGCAAGGAGTTGTGCCTTTGAATGCAGTGGCAAAAAAGAGCTCTTTGAAGCAATCGAGTTCGTTTACAACTTCTTCCAATGTGGGACAAAAGAGTAACAGAGCAATGCATAAAAATCAGTCTGCTGTAGTTCATTTTACAAAAAGTAAAGCCGATGCTCTCCAACAAGCCTCGGATCTGGATGCGTTACTAAAGGAAGTGGTGCAAGATATAGATGACGAATTAATTCCAATAACAGATACTGAGTCAAAAAACGGACTGGCTGCCACGTTGCCTCAACTTGGTGGGCAAGTGGCGAACATTCAGAAGCAGTTAATCCAAGTATCTCACCAAATAATGCCCATTCCATGCCAGAGCCAAATGAAATCACTGCACGAAATGTTCTCGCCCAGTGGTACCAGCGACGATTGCAAAATGAAGCTGAGAAACGTCAGCAACTCAGAGAAGAAACGGGCGTACAGTGGGGAAGTTTTAGATTCGATCAAGAAGAGAAAGGAGACCAAGATACAGGACTCAACCACACTAGAGATTGGAGAAGATCCCTACAAATTAATGGATCTCACAATCAGAATTCCAAGGCTAAATCTGAAAAAACACAAGTGTCGTCCGAAATCAGTTGGTCAAATCAGCCAAAAGGCAATAAATCCAATTTGGGGCGGCGACATGGCACAGGACATTCGCAAACAAGCCCCGATTCGTTTGAAAGAACTGACCATTCGGTTAAGACCCGAAGATATGATTCAGCCACACACAATCCAACTGACGAGTTCACATTCAATGCAGCCAGAGACACCGGTTTTAATGGAAAATTCCCCATCAGTTCTAAGTCCTGTTGTGTCGACAGAGCGGCAGATATTAACGACAACGCAATCCGTAGTACCAACAGTAACTTCCGATCTTCGCGTTTTATCTCCGATAGAACAGCAACTAACACTGCCAACCTTTTCACCGACAGAGGTACAAGCAGAAAATCCAATTGGTCCGATCGAAACCGAATCGACAATATTCCCGAATCAAAACGTTGCACAGAAAGAGTTTCCAATATTGCCAATTACGAATCCGGAACACAGACATTGCAGGTTCATTCAATTAACATCCGATCAGGAAGCTTTGATACTCCCTCGGGCCACATTACAAGCATTAACCAAAAGTTGTTCAGTGTCAACTCAGCAAATCAGGATGAATATATGGCCTTCAAGTGTTATGGAACACAATCAGCTTCCTCAAAACTGTGTCCCGTTGAAAACGTTATCAGTCACAATCAAACTCCCTCTGCCATTGCACTTGGACAAGATAGTTTTTGTGCCACACGAAAAAATCAAGGACGTTTTATCGACAGCAACCTACTCACAGGGCGTGTTCCGAACGACGGTGAAGACATCAGACTTTCAACAAATTTGCCAACAGGGTACTGTTATTCCCATAACATCTATTCGGCGGACATCCTGCCCTCAAAACAACCAAGAAAGTACATTGGATATATGCCCCGATTCCTTTCAGAATCAGAAAGCGGCAACGGTGGATTGTGACGAAGATGAAATTGATAATAACAATAAAAAGACTGATCCTTTTACTGATTTTACTGAAACTGTACCGAATAGCCCCAAAGAGTTAGAGAAGACTGATCAGGTTAAAAATTTAATAGACGTGAAATACGGTAATCTTGAAATAGTCAAAATGCGTTCATTGGAAATAGAACAAGTAACTGATTGGGGGAAATCGTATTATGAAAGTTCACATGGCAGTACTACATCATCTAAAGATGACACCAGTGAACACAGTTTTACATCGAGTGAGGAAGTCAATGATCACAATATTAAAAATAATACAGTTAACGAGTCTGTAAGTGAATTTGATCAAGGTAGCACAATAAAGCAAACAATTGACTGTGATAACAAAAGTGAATCAGACTCGGATATTGATAGTAGTCATACAGAGGAAGATATTTGTGATACTGATTCAACTTTGGCCAGAATAGATGAGTGGCTTAAAGAAGCTTTAAAATGGAATACCAAAGATAAACTAAACCATATGAAACAGAAAACTAAATTTGAGACAAAATATTTTTGTGAATCCGGTGCTATAGCCATGTCTAATGAAAGTGCAATAAATTCCTGCGAAAGGACAACTGACCCAAACGATCAATCGTTAACAGAGACAACCAGTAATAACGATCGAAGCGAGCCAAATATGTGCAGCAGGCTTGCTGAAATAAGAGAGAACATTATTAAAAGTTCGTTGACCAAACACGACACTATTAAAGAGTCCGTTAAAAGTCTAGAGCAGTGTGAAAAAAGTGACCCTCAGAATAATCAAAATGATGTAGCTACAGAGACGTCCATGCAACATGCCTATAATCATTTTTCAGATAGTCCCTTAAATTCAACTGAACGAAAGGCATCTGATGAAACCGTTGTACAAAAGGAACTACGTATATTAATAGAACGTGAACATTTTTTAGATTCCGTTAAATATCAGCAAAACATAGAAAGGGAGTCAATCGAAAACACAAACGACATTATTTTTCCAAAAAACTCGAAAATAACATATCCGAAAAGGCTAGAGTCTGAAAAGGATTTTTTGTTTTCGGACGTTTTCAGCGATTCCTCGGTTAACGTAGACAAAGAGAATATAAACAAAGTTGCACAGAATAATTGCCAGCCAAACAGTGATGAGGTAGATCAACGTCGCTGTAAATCCGATTTAGACTACCTTAAGTCATGTCAGGATGCCAATCCGGTGCTAAAGAGGTATTCTAATAACCGAAAAAGAAAACATGATGAAGTTCCTTGCTTTAAAGTCGATCAGGAAAAAGCACAAAACCAGTTGACTGTGGCACTAAAACGATTACCTGAGGTTATTGCAAGACCTAATGTAAAAGTGCTCGTCTCAGACCCGTTTAAAAATGATGAAGAATCTTCTGATGACGAAGATGACGATGTATTCAAGAGGGCATCGCCCCTTGCAGACTGCAACATTCGCAATGAAATAAAAAAGAAATTAAATAAAACGTATAACAAAAAGCATAACTCCAATCGCAGGAAGAGAATAAGGAAATCTGATCAAGATGATTTGGGTAAAAACTCTGGTGTGCACGTGAATATATACGAAGATAAATTCTATAGTTTAATAGCAAAAGTGAGTCGTCCTTTATGCCGAAGTGGAGCTATGAACCTTAACATTCCAGGATTGAAAGATTATTCGGAAATTTTACCAAGGAATGTTAATCACGTGGTAAATGTTGTGCAACACACTATTCCGCGGTCTTCAAGTGTTACAAATCAAAACACACAGACTAGTACACAAGTAACGCCTCACATTCAAAGAATTGGACAACCCAAACTACCCGATCGCAAGCCAGACCGTTACGAAAACGAATCAGATCAAGCTCCAGCAAGCTCGCCGGTGTCAAAATCGCCATTGACTACAAACGCTTCCACTTTGATCAACATATTAAGTAACGCGAAACCTGGTCAGATGAAATCCGTAACAGCGAGCCAGACTCCTTTTGTAAACATATTATCTCAACAAGTTCTAAACCCCGCAGTACATCAAGCAGAACCATCGGTATGTATTGAGTTACTGAGTCACAAATAGATTAGTTAATTTTACTGCTTAATTCCCGCATGACTCACCTGCACTTAGTAGCCCTGTTGACGGATACCCGACACTACTATTCCTTCATTAGCCGCATGATCATTGAATTCCAAATCGGAAAACATGAATTGATGTTTTTTTCAGAATCCCACTGTTATAAAAGTTGACTCTGACACTAAAATAGACGTACAAGCTACGAAAAGTGTTAATACAAATTTAAGGATTGTCACTACTACCACTCAGGCAGGAGGTGCTTCGACAGCATCCAGCCCTGCTCAGGGCGGCACAATATTACAGTTCATCTGTAAGAGTTCTTTGCCAAAATTCCAACAAGCTTTTGGTAAAACCGTTTATCAAGCGGGAACGGGAACAATATGTGAAGGAACTTCGGATTCATCTGCATCGTCGCCTGGTGAATCTTGCAGTCAAAGTCAAGTTGCAGCTACGTTGGAGACGAAGAAAATCACCGCTAAAGCAGTGCCAGTTAATGTTCAACCTTTAACAGGAAATGTAATTTTTAGAGGTCAAGTTCCGGTTGGTCAAACTGTAAGTTTGATACCACCGGGCAGCAATACAAGGCAACTTTTTAGAATTACTGGTTCTACACATGAGCAAATTAACTTGGTGAAAGAAACGCTTATTCAAAATAAGATGGGAGCTCTGCTACATGCCATTCAAACTAAGCCAAAAGTAACGGTAGAACAGAATGGTGCTCAAACCGAAGAATACACAAAAATTACACTATGTAAAGGCTCTACTGTCTCTTCGAATACCACTAGAATCGTCAAACCGATTCAGTTGCAAATTCCTGCTAATGTTATTAGAGCTCCTCAGCCAGCAAATGTCAGTTCAACTACCTTAGAACAACTAAGAGAGTTTGATATGGTTTATAAGCAAGTCAAAGAGAGAAGTACGAGCACCCCAGTACAGCCAGAATCCACATCTCAAACTAGACAAGAGGCTCCGCAGCAACAAAGAATCAGCTTTGCTTATGTGAACCAAGTTCAAAAATATACCCAACTTGCCCCTGTAGTGGTTGTAAGTACCTACAGCTCGATGCAGCAAAGTGTTTCACCGGCATTAAGTGTCTCCTCGCAAAGCGGTTCCAGTTCTTCAATCACAACAGTAAACACCATTGCAGTGCCTAAAGTCGCCGTAAAGCCTTCCAAGGGTAAAAGCATTAGCAAGAGCTCTATAGTAAAGACTTCTCCTACAACAGTGCCAGCCATTTCTAAGCCGCAACAAAAACCTCAGGAAGATGAACTAACAACTCAAAGAATATTTGATATCCTCGCGGGTTATGCAGAGCAATTGAGGAATTCTCCAGATTTAAATAACAAACCGGCCCCGAGGCGACGATCGAATCCCCCGACTAATCCCAGTTCAAACACTACTTCGTCCTCGTCTAGTAAGAAGAAAAAGAAAAAAAGCAGTAGTTCAACGACGAGTACGTTGGTGGAAACTGACAACGAAGATTTAACTATGGGAAGCGAGGATAGCTCTGGTGGTAATATTGTGCAGCTTTCTATGACTGATGAGGAGCAATCTCAATCTGCGAGTGTTACGCCTACAGAATCGAACCTGGAACCTGCAACATCAAATGCATCCAATCATAGGCCCATAATTGTGACGACCGACGCAGCAAGCCATCCTAGAAACGTTATCATAGCGGATTCCAGCATGGGTGATACGTTAAAAATGCAAAACACCACCCTTTTAATGCCTGGCAATTACATAATGCCTGTATCTGTTGTCAAAAGTGGCCAGCCAATAGCTGTAGTGTCCGGAGGTAGTAAGATTCTGACGACGGTTCCCACTAGGTCTGGACAAAACATGCTTCTCTTTCAGAACTTTGTTAATCAGAGTAAGAAAGGCGCGATTTCTACCATTAAGTATTCCACACTCCAGCCCTTTTCAGGGCTCTCGGCTTCTGCTATTGGCACAGTAAATCAATCAGCTGTGGTTTTGCCGAGCAACTCCGTCGCCACTGTTGCATTAGGGCAACCTATAACTCTCAAGAAAATTGAAGATTGTGATAAAGGAACCAACACGGAACTCCTTCTCACGATAGCCCCACCCAGAGAAGCTGTAAAAGTTGAAAAGTGTCCAGATATTCCGCAGCCAGATAGTAGTACCAGTTTGTCCTGCGAAACCATCGAAGTGAAAGTAGAAGATCAGACATCGGCCGATTTATCTACAAATGCCGTTTTAAAGAGTATTAATAGGAATAGTTGCGTAGCCACTTCAGTTATTGCTTCAGTGATCAAAAAGGAAGATGCGGATTCCGAAACCGAGTCAGCAGACGCTACAATTATTAGAAGTAAGCACCTGATACAGTTTAAATATGATATTCCTTTGTCTAAGTCGTTGCTACAAAAGCATTTATTCGCTGATTTACATTTTCTGACATTTTCGTTGTTATTTCTCAGCAGTAGATAGTTCCAAGCAACTTGAACGCATCAGTTCAGTGTTGGTGAATACCTCAGCCTCCAATGGGCCTATGCTGTCTCACACAAATCACCGATATAGAAAATCAAGTGAAGGAGTCGAATGCACAACTGTATCTTCCAAAGAATTTAACCAGAATTCAATGAAGGTATGCATCTTATGTATATATCGAATAGTTTGTTTGCTTTACCGATTATTTTTAATCGGCGTTTTAGCCACCAATCACACACAAATGAATTTGTCTTTCAATGCAGGTACCTCAGTCTGCTACCAAAATACTGAAAAATAACGCCGTTTACTATGCGATTCGCACGAAAAAAGCAATAAACAAAAAGATTGATAGTGAAATGCAAAAACAGGCGGCAATGGAGAGAGAGCTGCGCTTGCAAAAGACATTGTCAGAAGAATGTGAAGACCTGGGCGTGGACGAACCGAGCACCAGTGACTTATTTCCTGAAGCTGACTTACTATTTGACTCAAATCATTCTCCATCTTATGATCAGTCGGGGCAAAAAGTGCAAGGAACAGAAGCGAAAACTAAACACTCGATGCATCTGTTTAGCGATGATGAAAATTCTGGACCTTTGCGTAATGATTTGTTTGATTATGTTGAGTACAATCCGCCTGACCGAGGACTGAATCAGGTAAATGGAAATAATATCTCGATTGAATCCACATCGTCATGCGATGACTCCACTCTTTTGCCCAATTGCGGAAACATGGCGGAAGTTACTTTAAATTCGCCCATATCTCCTGAATACAGTGAGAATAATCATAACATCATCAAGTACAAATATAAATATACTAATCGGAAAAAAGGAGAAAAAAGTGCTAAATTGCCGCAGGAAGTGTGGCCGGGGATCACCGAAGTCACTAGTTCGGAAGATACCATAGAACTTGTAAAAGAAGATGAAACTCCCATAGCCATTCAAGAGGAAACTGTCATAAATGAAGTAATTAATGAAGATGATACGTTAGTACTGGAGCAAGACGATAATTCTGATGCCACTTTAACAATTCGTTGTCCCGTTCACACATTGAACGATGACAACAGGAGTTCAAGAAAAAGTATCAAGAAGTTATGTTCTTGTTTTAATGGCTCGAGATCAACCAATGTAACTAATAATAGAAAACGATTGGCTTCCCCAAAGTCCTATATAACAAACAAGAAAATATTATTGAGTAAAAAAAGATAGTGCCAGAAAAACACACGGCGCTTTTTCTATTAATATGCTATACTGAAGGATGTCGACATATTCGTTTTGTGTGTCTTTAAGAGGACCCAGAAGTTACTAACTATATCTGAGGACTATATAAATCTTCATTTACGCCACAAAATAATGACTTAAAATAAATTACTATTTTGTTCAATCGGAATTGTACAAGTAGGTGTTGGTATTTTTCCCTGTGACTACACGTACTCAAGATGGGACGAAGAGAACTACAATTGTGTGTGCGTGTGTGTGTGTGTACTTGAGTCATTCCTTTTAATTAGAAAATGTATTTTTAAATTTTTAAAAATACAGGGTAAACCGGGGCTTGGGACCCCCAAGGTTTTGTATATATCCTGTATCACAACATATTTTCAAGGAACGTAGAACTTGATGTGTGTAAAATAGATTGTAGGTTACGGCTTTAACTAATTATATTTGTACGACTCTTGTAAATATCAAATTGCTCATCGATTCGCGGTCATTTCGTAGCAACTGTTGCCCATGAAATATGTATGTGATTAACATAAAACTAAATTATATATTCTTAGATTCTCTTGCTATCAGCCATGTATTAGTTAATTTCAGATGCTTCAGACCATTTTATTTATTTAGTTAGTTAGCAAATGATATATAATTTGTCTTGATAATTTTCTTGTATTGTATTTATTGTATTGCCTTTTGAAAAAATTCCAATAAAATTTGAGTTAAAGATTGCACTCGAGGGCAAATTTGAGAATGTAAAATTGTGTCCGGTCCATCCAACCTACGATTGCAATCTTTATAGATGGATGTCGCCAGTGCTACCTATATTCAAATGGTGCAATTGGGTGTAAAAAGAAATAAGAATGTTTGGCTATTTTTTTATCTGTTTTTTCTGCAAATTTAGCATTTTTATTCTTAATAAAAAATAGAAATTCAAGAAATTATAAATAAATCAAATATTTCATTAAAATTGTATAATAGCATTTTTATTATTCTATTATTGATTGTATAAAATCGGCATCGCCCATATGATATGTGGTCGAATATTGCGCTGGTGGCTATACTGAATTCGTAGATACCTACATTTAGACTATTGGTATTGTAATAATCTTTCATCTTCTTTGCCTTACAAATTGTCGTGATTACGAAAAATATTGTTATTTGTTTTTTTATTCATTCTGACTGTTGTTTGGATTCTTGCTATCAGTTCTGAAGTTTACTAAGCGGGTCTCATTGTAGAATTGTGGCCAAGTGTGTCAATAAATCTGTTGGAAAATTGTATCGTATCAAATAGTTAATAAATATATGTCGTTTCCAAAATTGCGTTCTTTGAATAAAGATTGCGTTTTGAAGAAGCGTCCTGCTCTAAAACCATACTTGATTGTCTTTAAAGTTGAGAACTATCGATGAGTAGCAGCGCTGGCGCTGCATTGACTTACCTAGTAAATTAATGAATGTACATAGTTGGTTCTTTTAAGGGATTGTTGCATACGTGATCAAAATTGATGTTCTTTATCGCTAAAAAAATAATTGCTATCACTTTGTGAATAGATTCTAAAGAGTAGATAACATACAACATAACAGTGTGCAATAGCCACTAGCCTAACTCAGTATCATCTCAACGTGAGCGTACAGCATAAGGAACTAAATTCGCTATACTGTGCTGTTTACCGCTTTTATTTCATATAATTGTAATATGTGTGTATGGAGTTGAACACTGAATATTTCCTTTTGTTATTGTTTAGTTTATAATTTATACTTTCAAGGGCATGCATGGATATTGCATTCATTTTAGCTGAGCATAAATGTGGGTAAATGGATGCACACTTTAAAATTCTTGCCGGAAAAGTAAGTGCAGCAAATTCGTATATGTATATTTTTGGTATATTAATTTCAAGTGCTACCTTTCATTTTATGCTTCGGATGCATCGAGTTTTCTCCCTAATTTATTTTTTCTTTAAGGTTAATAACTATTACTCAGCTGCCCACAATTGTATATTCTTTGGCTGTGTTCAAATTTGTTTCATTTACTTGCGTTCGTGTATTTTTTAACCAATCCCAAATTGTAGTTTGATAGGACGAACTGTGTATGTTTTTTATTACAGTATTTTTTCGAAATAAATGTTCGTATGAAAAATGCATCCATGTACTTTCATGTTGGTTGTGCCAAATTCATTTTGTTAAACATTTGAGATGTACGCTGTATTAATTTAATTTTGAATCAGTACTTTTATTGGACCGTATTATGTACATAACTGTATTTAGCTGTTAGTAAACGAATATAAATAAAAATGCACAGTTTCAGATTTAAACTGCCTGCACATTATTAATACTTCCGAAGAGAAATTCCTACAGCTTTTATACTTTTTGATGATTTTGCCTAATGTAGGCAGGGGTAACTCAGTGAATTTTCAGAAATTGGCTCAGTAATGCCGAAATGACGTGTTGCGCCAACCCATCGCATCGACACAGTAACTCACTGGTGTCGTTGCATTGCAGTCATCCACTTGGTAAAATGTAACTCAAGAATGTGACCTTTTTTTCCAGTCCCGGGCCTCGTAAACTTAATCCGCCCCTGGGTTAAATGATAAGCGTAATTCAAAGTGCGGCACAGTGAGATGCGATGAGTTATGACTCACCCGCGCACAGAGTGCCAACAACTCAACCCAGTGTTACTCATGCCTACTTCAAAGAACTATTGCGGGACATTTCGATTTGAGTTTTTCAAAAATGAATTTCTCCGACACGTGAAATGCTCCACAAGTTCAGAGTTGTGTGTTTAGTAAAGAAGAGTGTGGTATGAATGTTTTCAAACCTGCAAAAATTCTTTAAAATCGCATGAAATCCTGAATTTTGCGCACTTCGTAAATGTTGAAATAAAATGGTTTCAAGCAACTGCAGACTCTTCAATAAAAAAATCCAACTTCCAAAGTAAAGCCAGTGGAAACTTGAAAGATTGAAATTATGTAGAAATGCAGGTGTAAATTTGCACCTAAATGTCTGATATTCAAATTTCGTGTGACTTTGTGACAAAATGACCAGAATTTACTCATGCAGTTGTTATAACTCAATCAAAAGTTTTCAATTCTCTATCCAATGATATAAAAACGAACTCTCTGCCTCAAATCGTTCTTGAGCTACTTTACTTTTTTGACATAAAACTGGAATCCATATTTCCATATCTGGAACGGTTCCAGATAAGAAGTTTGCAAATTTATTGTGAAGGAATCAATGGTTTAGTCGGCACCAAATCCACACTACCAGTAAGCTGATGCCGATCTTATGCTAAACTGCTAAATCTTATGCGGATCGCGGGCAGAGTAATGCTAAAGTTACCGAAATCTGCGTGGTGCCACCTGGAAAGGAAAAAGAAAATGCCGTTCTTCTTTCTTAAAAAAAAAGAAAAAGATAGGATAAACTACCCCACTTACCAAAAGGGTCGCAATTTTGCCAATATTTCCCATCTAAGTACGCGATTCACATGACACTGTCGGTAGCAAACTACGTTTTCATACACCTTTTTGAGACCTACAGAATAAACATGATTATTTAATCACTGGCTTGTTCGTCCTTTCCATGATTCACTGATCCACACTTGGCAGTGTGTTAATTGTGACATTTTTGTAGAAAGTCGCTGTTCGCATGCCAAATTTAACGTTCAGCAGTTAGCAGCGTTAAGGAAAGCAGTTTCAAGTTTTAAAGTAATTTTTCCACTTTGTCCAAACGTTATTTTAAACTGAGTCTCAGACTGAGAAAGTTGTTTTGTTTAGGGCGATCATCCAAACAAGTATCAGGGTGAAACGTGCCTTTGAAAATATAGCGCGTGAACTGGAACTCTCTACTTTGTCAACAAGAAAAAATCTGAAATCGAGTTTGAACTGAATACTTTGATTGAATGATTGAAATAATAAACTACTTTTTCGTATGGCAATTGAAGTTTTATGAATTCTTTACATGTGCTCTCCTTTGCTTCTCTGATTTGCGACAGCAAATCAAAGAAACATTTATTAACCCATTCTTATAAACTATTATTAAAACATTTTTAACAAAATTCGTATAATACTTGTTTATGCAAATTATTTATTTGGACTTTAGTTGCGCATGATGAAGACCTAAATTACTATCTATTATTTATATTCGTGACTGAACTTATATCTAATATGGTTGCGCTAGCACCATTATGAAATTTGCAAAGAATGGAAATAAACCAAGACTACTAAACCAAATATCACACAATAATAATAATAGCTGCCGCTTCAATCATTTAATCGCTCCATTAACTGAAATTGATCTTTGTGTTCTATAGCTAAAGGCGGCTTTATCAAGGGTTTCGCTCTTTTCGTAAGTCTCTTTTTTTGCTTGTTTTTTCTCCATTTTATATAGACGATGATAATTGATAGAAAAAATATTAATATAACAGCGACTCCTATCCAGATCCAAACCTTCTTTAAATACAGCGCGAATTGTATATTCTGCAATTTCTCCATACATTTACTGAATGCTTCCAAGTCGTCGAATTCTATTTGGTCGTCTATGCAGTCTGCGTAACAATGAACATTATAGTTTTGAAAATTACACATTAAATGCATACCTTCTTTGTTATTCGGACACTGAAAATCAGTAAATACCACTTTCCGTTCAGCTAACCATCGATTAATCTTCCAGCAATCGCAATCGTTTTCAAATTCAGCAGTTGCATTACTGTTTGCTAAAATTTGCAAGTTACACAGCCCAGCAAAATGCCTTGGAGAAAGATAATTAAATTGATCCCCTGTAAAAGTGTAGAAAAATTTTACTGACTGCTTGTGAGGAAGTGTTTGTAAAACTTACCTGAAATATTGACAAAAGCCAACAGAGGTAAATCGCTAAAATCTGGAAAATCGGTTGCATAACCATCTTCAGTGATGTAGCTAATATCCAATTTAGTGAGTGTAGACTGTAATATAGGTTTTGCGTTTTCAAGCGATTCGGCCACATTGATATTCATATTTTGGCTCAAGTAAAGCGTTTTTAAGGTCGGTAGTTGAAAAATGCTTGGTGGCACCCGGAAAAGGGCATTTACGGATAAGTCCAAGGTCTCCAAGCTTGTTGAGTCTTTGAAAATGTCGTCGTCCAGTTTGGATATTAAATTGTCCGTTAAGTACAGATGTGTTATGTACGGGTATCGGTGCAAATCATCATATTCAACTTTTCGAATTCGGTTGTAAGATAATTCCACTACCTGTGGAAAGTGAAAAATCACTATAGGTAATCACCAATGTCATTAAGGTGTGTAGAAATCATTTCAATAGACTATTATTAGTTCTAATAGGTACTGTAGATACTGTCCCAATTATTACGCAATGCGCACATTTCCTAGATAGACTTACCTCAACATTAGGTGGTAGACAGGTAGGGAATTTTTTTAAATCCATCTTGTAACAGTCGGAAGTTTTCAGGCCGAGAGTTCGAGAAGTTTTGCATGTTTTCTCCTTCTTGCAGCTCGTGGTTAACGTGTTCCCAGACAACGCAAAGCAAAAAAATAGCCACACCAGGTTTTTAGCCAGCATGATTCAAAATGCCTTTACTGAAATTTTCAAGTATTATCAGTTAATTAAAAACATCTATCATTCAACGATGTTTAAATTATTGTCAAAAGTTTCTCCTTTTTTTCACTGCCACCAAGAGCCGCGATTCACCAGCAAGTTTCCGTCCAACCAATATGCCTATAGGTATTAAAAATGCTACTTAATTTAAAGTTATGCATTCAGACAATACTATTTATTGGTTCTAGCGCACTTATCATTTTTATATTTTATATATAAAAAAAATCTCGCTTTTGATATATTTTTGTTTTTATACTTGGTGCATTTTTTTCTGTGAAGCTATATTTGATAGCGATATCGGAGTAGCGTGGTGAGTTTAAGAAAGTTTACTGTTCAGTCCCACAGAGCCGGAAACTTGTTTTTTGGTCAAATCCAACGCAAAATGGTTAGAAGCTCTTAAATAAATATATAAGAACAAGTAAACTGAAAATTCAGAAGATAGAATAAACGATATTTACAAAGCAAGAATGAAGAAATTTTGTCAAACTTGGAAAATCACATTTTTGACCATGAGGATTGAATTTGCTTATCTGCTTATCTTAATCTGTAGCATTTACTGAGAATTAATACTAAGCTGATTATCTATTTGATTTTCCAAAGTAGCTAAACAAAACTGGACAAATACGCGTTTGGAACTGCTTTTATAATGAAAACATCCATTAAAATCATGGAGTGTTCAACAACAATCCATGTTCAAACAAAACATACTTAATCAACTGTCTCTCTCAATACGTACCATGCCTTTTTGTATTAAAATGGGTCTATTCATAGGAAAAATCACATCACTGGTATTGAAAAAACGGGATTCAAGTCATCGAATAGGCCGCTTTCGAGCACTAACTAAGCTTAACTAGCTAAATTGTAGAATGAATCGAATTATCTCAGTTGTATAAGGCAACGAATTTATTTGATAAATTTTGGGTCAATTTCTTTTTGAAACTATATGTTCTTCCACTTCGGACACTTCGATTACCACTAAACTTTAATAGAACACACCCATTTGAACAATTGCGCCAATAAAAAATGCTTAATAACTTTAAGACACTATTAACAAATTAAAATCTATCTGTGCTCGCAGTACACTTTTGAGCACATAATAAGTATTTTTGCGTTATCTTTGTTTATCATTAGTTACACATTTTATTGAATTCAAGATTACTATATAATTCAACGAGACTCACAGGAGAACCCTGCTTTGTCTAAAGTGACTGATTATTATGAGCTCTAAGGCATGATTCAAGTTAAAAATTGGCATCTCTGACCTCTGGCTTAATTTGTTTTAATTTCTTAGAGTCTCAGATAGCATGAGACTTATCAATCTAAATGGAACCGCCAGGCTGGAGAATATAATATTTTTAATGTTGTTCTACGCTTAATATTCTAGTTTTTAAAGGGAAGTGCAGCTGAACACTAGATGAATCAATTAATCAGTTCCGATTAAGTTAAAATAGATAAATTTCTGCATTTCTAAAACTGAATTTAAATGAATGGCTTCTTTTTTATTAGAGCGCCAAGTTTCTCCCGTTGGCAAAAACCGAATATTTCCGAGTTTTGTTTGCAAAGCTCGCACCAGATTATTTGAGTTGGTCCAAAATAACGAATGCGTTAAATAATTCGTTTTTTTTTTAACTGTTTGCAAGTGAGATATTTTGCTAACCAAGTCTCATTTCTGTGTAAAATAGCATTGTAATCACAATGAGAGTGTTAAATGAATGGGATCGGGAAACAGTTAAAAAAATCGAGATTAAAAAAAAAACGTACTTCTTTGTGAGGTTTTACAAGCTACCGACCTTTATAATTTAACTGAAAAATAGCACACTGCAATTCCGTTACTCTTGTCTTCATTTTTAAATTTTTATCATAAAAATTTTAGATTAGATTAGATCGCGAGAATAGCCTAAAAAGTGTTTAAAAAACGTAAGCTCAACAAGTGCTTAAATTTGAGCGATTGACACGATACTTCTAATGGTATCCTGTTTTTGCATGCATGACTAATGTGAATATCCCCAGTTGAAGCTCACAGGTGTAAGACACTGAAAATGTGATAATATGGAAGGAATGGGTTCCGTAATGAGAAAACGTGTAACATCTAAAATTTTTATTAAGATTATATATAAGTCTTGTGTTTTACAAATATTTTTACATTTTCACAGTCTGAACTCTATACAAAGTCTCAACGTAGACCTTGTGAAGGCACCTAAATATGCGTTACATCTGATTTACGAACATTGACTAGACAATTCAACAATCTATTTCCAGACCAAAGTCATTAAGCTAATTTTAATTCTTCTAATCGCAGAGTCAAAACCAGATAGAATGACCCCAGTTAAGACAATGTTCTTCACAAATCCACTGACGGTGTGTGCAAGTTATTATCGTTCCCAAAATATTGTTACTTATGGCATTTAGTGGATGATACTGCAAATACCATACACATTTGTTTAGTACTTGCGCTAACTTACTAATTATTTTAAAAAATCACAATAACATTAATCAAACCCTGATTAAGTGCCCTTCTACTTTATTTTGGACAAACCTTTTGCTTTGTAGCAAATTCCAACTACTGACTATATCCGCTCAAACAAATGTATTAAATTTACATATGGCATTTTTATATTCCTACATGACAATAGACCTCTATTTACTGCAAGATTTGCTCAAAATTATAAAAACCAATACTTGCAGCATATAGATGTGGATATACATATCGATAAACCAATAAATAAATGTGTTTTACACCTAAAATCTAAAAGAAACATTACACTTGTAACATATACAATAACAAATTGTGAAATATACTGTCAAAATGAAATAGGTAGTGTATCGCTGCATATATGCATGACATACGCATACGCATACGCAAACTAAACTAGTTTTAACTGAATAATTACATCTTTGTTTGTCGTTGTGTGTAGAACTTTTACTCCTTTCTGGTACAATTATTTTTTTAGTCGTGTTCGTGGTACCGAAGACCAGACAGATTCATCCTTTAGCCGTTAGACATTTGCCCAGCAAATTTACATTTAGAATCTCCTTGGCTAACCCGGCGAATGAAGGAATATAAGTTTTACAAGTACCTATCATTGACGTATTTCTTAAACATCTTATAATTGGATGATCATGTGCAGCGTACAAGAATGACCCGATATATTATGTGCTGCATATACCACAAAGTTCAAACATAGTCAGTAGACTAAGGGCTAATTGTTTATATAAAAATCGACACAAAATCCATCCACGTTTTACTTGATTTTCAATTGCGCTCTACTATCTTTACAAGAAGATTGCCATGACGGAGAAAACAATCGAGCCCTTCTACACTAACAGACAAAATATCTACATTTTCTATTTTAGTGTGTATAACTTTTATTAACTTTCAGTGTGTGTTTAGTTACGTATAACACAGTATAACAAACATTACATATAATTTTTCAAGTCCAGATTGTCCCATTAGTTGGCACTTAAGCACTAACTTTCAACAGCTTTCGAGCTGCAACAATCATGGTAGGAAACTACGTTATCATTATATATAAGAGTTTTCATTTTACTGAAACAAGGCTTGAACGTCGAGGTTATTCAGTGATGCTCAGATAGTTGCATCAATTGAAGAAAAGCCTCTAATGTATAAATGGATCAGATATCTTAGACTTTTGGTTGGTTAATTTCAATTATAAGATGTTAATTTCCATAGGCAGTCGAAAATGGTACCATTCACGCAAACGGTGACAAAGTAGAAAAGAACGAGTTACCAGCTTCCACATCAAATACGGCAAACAATCACATCAACGTGAAATATCTTTAATGGTACACAGCCTTTTGTCCAATTGAAACGACTAGAATGGAACTTTATGGCGACTTGGTCGACTATTCAATCAATGTTCTATCAACAACAGTCTCAAATTGTCTTGATCTTTTACACAACTCATACACTACAGCCCTGCGTCACTTCATCCGTGGATTGTTGACTCCATCGGCATTGCAGATTGTTATTGGTGTTGTTGTCAGTGCGTAAACTCTGTTCTAATTCTAATAGTTGACCCATAAAGTTGAGGTTTGGCGAAATGATCGGCCGCACTTCCTTAACTTTCTTGTATGCTTCCCACATCGACATTTGCTTGTATTTCATTATGTAGGCAATTGCTATTGTGGCACTTCTTGATATGCCCGCTTGACAATGAACCAGGACTCGTGAACCATTTAGTCGTGCTTGTTCTGAAATCAAAAACCATTTGTTGGACATTTCACTCTTAGATCCAGTTAATTAATTAAAAAATGTTGTGTGCAGACTTGAAGTTTTATCAGGTAAATAATCATCAGGGGATTGCAGGTTTGTGACTAAACAGCCCTAACATAGAAGCCCATTTGAATATCTGCATAATATAAAAAAATGAGTGCAGTGCACTAATTTAAGAAAGTATGCGTGTGTACCACCTTGCCTGACGACCTTGTCGGTTAAAACATTTTTTTTATTTATAGCAATATTGGTATACCTAATATGAATTGGGATCGCGTGAAACTATTCTACTCGCACTCGAGAAAATTTGCGAGCGGTACGGTCCTGTCGTCCGCATGCCGATGCTTTCCTGAACGGTGCCAGAGTTGCTAGTTTGGGCGATTTATCGCCAATTGGGCGATTTTAATAATCGTTTTGCGATCAGTTTGGATTCTGCGACATGGCGACGGAATGGGCGACTTTTTAAACGAAACCGACAATATATTACGAGTTTACTTAGTATAATTATTATAAATGTTTCGAAAAATCATATACGTGTTTTCTTAAGTATTGGTGAAGAAATTTTACTTTGTTTAATATTTCTGTCCAAATTTCTTAATTTTAGCGTCTTTTAGTGTTGCCAGTAAATGTTTCGATATTTTTCGTAAAGTCGTCCTCTTTCGGTGTTGCGACTAAAATTTCAATGCATGGTGCATTGAATTTTAATGCATGACCACATAGAAGCAGTGATTCCAGATCGGTTAAATTAATATCCCCACATGGTCGCTTAAAAAAATCCGTTTTTCCTATACAGTTGAGTCCGGATATAACGAACTTGAAAAATGAACTAAAACTGGTTTGTTATATCCGGAGTTCGCTATAAGCGAATAATAATACAAAAAC